GGGGATAGGGGTGGATGTTGAAGGTGTGATGGGTGTTGAGGGAGGGGATAGAGGGGATGTTGAAGGTGTGGTGGGTGTTGAGGGCGGGAATAGGGGAGGATGTTGAAGGTATGGTGGATGTTGAGGGAGGGGATAGGGGGATAATGAAGGTGTGATGGGTGTTGTGGGAGGGGATAGGGGAGGATGTTGAAGGTGTGATTGGTGTTGAGGGAGGGGATAGGGGAGGATGTTGAAGGTGTGATGGTTGTTGAGGGAGGGGATAGGGGAGGATGTTGAAGGTGTGGTGGATGTTGAGGGAGGGGATAGGGGGATAATGAAGGTGTGATGGGTGTTGTGGGAGGGGATAGGGGAGGATGTTGAAGGTGTGATTGGTGTTGAGGGAGGGGATAGGGGAGGATGTTGAAGGTGTGATGGTTGTTGAGGGAGGGGATAGGGGAGGATGTTGAAGGTGTGGTGGATGTTGTGGGAGGGGATAGGGTTGATGTTGAAGGTGTGGTGGGTGTTGAGGGCGGGAATAGGGTTGATGTTGAAGGTGTGGTGGGTGTTGAGGGAGGGGATAGGGGGATGTTGAAGGTGTGGTTGGTGTTGAGGGAGGGGATAGGGGGGATGTTAAAGGTGTGGTGGATGTTGAGGGAGGGGATAGGGTTGATGTTGAAGGTGTGGTGTGTGTTGAGGGAGGGGATAGGGGGATGTTGAAGGTGTGGTGGGTGTTGAGGGAGGGGATAGGGGGATGTTGAAGGTGTGGTGGGTGTTGAGGGAGGGGATAGGGGGATGTTGAAGGTGTGATGGGTGTTGAGGGAGGGGATAGGGGGATGTTGAAGGTGTGATGGGTGTTGAGGGAGGGGATAGGGGTGGATGTGGAAGGTGTGGAGGATGTTTAAGGTGTGGTGGATCTGGGAGATGTGGAGGGTGTTGAAGGTGTGCTGGATGTGGAAGGTGTGGAGGGTGTTGAAGGTGTGGTGGATGTGGAAGGTGTTTTCGATGTGGAAGGTGTGGTGGATGTGGAAGGTGTGGAGGATGTTGAAGGTGTGGTGGATGTGGAAGTCGTGGTGGATGTGGAAGGTGTGGTGGATGTGGAAGGTGTGGTGGATCTGGGAGTTGTGGAGGGTGTTAAAGGTATTGCGGGTGCTGAATGTGTGTTGGATGTCGAAGTGTGGTGGACCTGGGAGATGTGGAGGGTGTTGAAGGAGTGATGGATGTTGAGGGAGGGGATAGGGGTTGATGTTGAAGGTGTGGTGGATGTTGAAGGTGTGGTGGATCTGGGAGTTGTGGAGGGTGTTAAAGGTGTGGCGGCTGCTGAATGTGTGGTGGATGTCGGAGTGTGGTGGACCTGGGAGATGTGGAGGGTGTTGAAGGAGTGATGGATGTTGAATGTGTGGCGGGTGTTGAAGGTGTGGTGGATGTTGAAGGTGTAGGGATGTTGAAGGTATGGTGGATGTTGAAGTGTGGTAGATGTTGAATGTCTGGGTGTTGAAGGTGTGGCTGGTGTGGAAGGTGTGGCGGATGTTGAAGGTGTGGTGGATGTGGATGGTGTGGTGGATGCTGAAGGTGTGGTGGATCTCGGAGTTGTGGAGGGTGTTGAAGGTGTGGTGGATGTTGAAAGTGTGGTTGATGTTGAAGGTATGGTGGATGTTGAAGTGTGGTAGATGTTGAATGATGTCTGGGTGTTAAAGGTGTGGCCGGTGTGGAAGGTGTGGCGGATGTTGAATATGTGGGTATTGAAGGTAGGTAGGTGTTGAAGGTGTGTTGGATGTGGAAGGTGTGATGGATGTGGAAGGTGTGGTGGATGTGGAAGGTGTGGTGGATGTGGAAGGTGTGGTGTGTGTTGAACGTGTGGAGGGTGTTGAAGGTGTGTTGATGTGGAAGGTGTGTTGGATGTGGAAGGTGTGGTGGATGTGGAAGGTGTGGTGTGTGTTGAACGTGTGGAGGGTGTTGAAGGTGTGACGGGTGTTGAAGATGTTGTGGATGTTGAAGGTGTGGTGGATGTGGAAGGTGTGGTGGATGTGGAAGTTGCAAAAGAATGTTGAAGGTGAGTGGGTGTTGAAGGTGTGGCTGATGTTGAAGGAGTGGCGGGGATTGAGGGTTTGGTGGATGTTGAAGGTGTGGTGGGTGTTGAAGGTGTGGTGGAAGTAGAAGGTGTGGTGGATGTGGAAGTTGCAATAGAATGTTGAATGTGAGTGGGTGTTGAAGGTTTGGTGGATGTTGTAGGTGTGCGGGTGTTGAAGGTGTTGCTGATGTTGAATGTGTGGGTGTTGAAGGTAGGTAGGTTTTTAAGGTGTGATGGATGTTGAAGGTGTGGTGGATGTAGAAGGTGTGGTGGATGTGGAAGTTGCAATAGAATGTTGAAGGTGAGCGGGTGTTGAAAGTGTGTTAGGTGTTGAAGGTGTGGTGGATGTGGTTGATGTTGAAGGTAAGCGGGTGTTGAAGGTGTGGTCGGTGTTGAAGGTGTGGTGGCCGTTGAAGGTGTGGTGGATGGGGAAGGTGGTGTGGATGTGGAAGGTGTGGTGGATGTATAAGTTGTGGAGGGTGTTGAAGGTGTGGCAGGTGTTCAAGGTGTTGTCGGTCTTGAAGGTGTGTCTGGTGTTGAAGGTGTGGTGGATGTTGAAGGTGTGGTGGATGTTGAAATTTTGGTGAATGTTGGAGGTGTGGTGGATGTTGAATGTGTGTGTGTTGAAGGTAGGTAGGTGTTGAAGGTGTGGTGGATGTTGAAGATGTGGTGGATGTTGAAGGTGTGTTGGATGTGGAAGGTGTGTTGGATGTGGAAGGTGTGGTGGATGTTGAAAGTGTGGATAATGTGGAAGGTGTGGTGGATGTGGAAGTTGTGGAGGGTGATGAAGGTGTGGCCGGTGTTGAAGATGTGATGGGTGTTGAAGGTGTGGTGGTTGTTGAAGGTGTGGTGAATGGAAGTTGTGGAGGGTGTTGAAGGTGTGGCCGTTGTTGAAGGTGTGATGGGTGTTGAAAGTGTGGTGGATGTTGAAGGTGTGGTGAATGGAAGTTGTGGAGGGCGTTGAAGGTGTGGCCGGCGTGTTAAAGGTGTCGCGGGTATTGAAGGTGTGGTCGGTGTGAAGGTGTTGCGAATGTTGAAGGTGTGGTGGACGTGGAAGGTGTGGTGAATGGAAGTTGTGGCCGGTGTTGAATGTGTGGCGGGTGTTGAAGGTGTGGTGGATGTTGAAGGTGTAGCGGATGTTAAAGGTGTGGTGGATGTTGAAGGTGTGCTGGATGTTGAAGGTGTGATGGCTGTTGAAGGTGTGGTGGATGTTGAAGGTGTGCTGGATGTTGAAGGTGTGATGGGTGTTGAATGTGTGGCGGGTGTTGAAGGTGTGGTGGATGTTGAACTTGTGGCGGATGTTGAAGGTGTGACGGTTGTTAAAGGTGTGGTGGATGTTGAAGGTGTGATGGGTGTTGAATGTGTGGCGGGTGTTGAAGGTGTGGTGGATGTTGAACTTGTGGCGGATGTTGTAGGTGTGACGGTTGTTAAAGGTGTGGCGGGTGTTGAAGATGTGCTTGAAGGTGTGGTGGATGTAGAAGGTGTAGCGGGTGTTGAAGGTGTGGCGTATGTTGAAGATGAAGGTTATGTTGAGAGTGGGGTCAAGGTTAAGATTTTCGGTTGGTGCTTGAGGCTGGGGTTGCATATGAAGGTGGAATGGACATTGGGAGTTTGGTGGATGTTGAAGGCGGTGATGATGTTGCGGCTGGGTTGATTGTTGGAGGTGCGGCGAGAAACTAGTCCTCATCAGTCAGTCAGGAGGACGTGTGGTCTATTTATGGTCAGTAGTAGGTCGAGTCGGATATTACAGCACGACATGTGTGGGACGTGAATTATATAGAACAGGATGCGCCGTGTGCTATACATGCACTTGCCATGCAGTGATATATAGAAGCTGGGTCGTAAGTGTTTGTGCTGCCAAGAACAAGCCACAATATTCATATATATATCATATAACCCCCTTCTAACTCGATGATGAAGACAATTACACAGGAAACGCGCACGTCATTCCGATCATTGTATCTTAGCATTTATCAAGTCTAGATGGGCCGGAAACCTCAGGAAACCTTTGTTTTATTGGACAAAATAAAATCATATGAAATGAAATTTGTGTCCATACGTTGCCTCCTAGTGACAATGTGCCAAGCTTTCGTGTGTCGTGGTGTCCCTGTTATGAATATTATAAACACATACATTTGTAATAAAATTAGGTAAGTGTGTGTGGGACGGGTTGTGGGGATTGAGGTGTGTGTGTTTGTTTGTGTGTGTGTGTGTGTTTGTTTGTGTGCGTGTGTGTGTGTGTGTGTGTGTGTGTGTGTGTGTGTGTGTGTGTGTGTGTGTGTGTGTGTGGTACTTGACTCTACACACGAGTATTTATTTCAATAACAACTTTTTCAAGGGGTTGGGGGTCGAATCACTTCCGGATTCGAAAAAAGGACTGCGCCTGGTGTTACATAATGCATGAAGGTGACGATAAGATTTAATTAGTCTGGGGTTATGTTTGGAGTCGCGTTCGGAGGGTAAAGAAAAACACGTGTTGTGTTTGTACTAAATAGGATAACGTACAACCAGGCTGGACGCAGGTCGATCGGCCGGCAGAGAAGTGTTATCAGACCCAAGTCAGTACAGGGTGATGGGCGATACGGACCTATCAGTGACACGCAGTCTGGTGTGTGAGTGCACTCACTAAAAACGCATTGACACAAGAAGACGAAGAAGAAGAAGAAAAGGGAGAAGAAGCGGAAGGAGAAGAAGAAAATGAGAAGGAAAGGGGAAGTAGAACGCGGAGAAGGATGAGGAAAAGAAGAAGAACCCTAAAGCAGCGACGTGGGTGGAGTGAGAGAGGAAGAAGATGTGTGTGTAGAAACTTCGTCGGGGGAGTGGGGGTGTTTCTCTGTCCGTTTTATATGAAATACTAGCAAGCATCCTATGTTAGTCCAACTTGTACACCAACGCCGTTCGGTATGAGAATAAACTATTTTAAAACCAAAGTGTAAGATAAAATGTGACTCACCGCCTATTTCAACACGAGCAGCGTCTGTCAATGAATCGTGCAGTTGTCGGCCCACACACACGCATGGCTAGCGTCCACAGATTCACCAATAGTCAACGCATTCAAACGCGTATATGATACACAAAAACGCTTTGAGAAAAACGCGGGGCATAGAACGAATGACAGGTAAACTTGGGTAGGCTGTCCAACGCAACGAGAGATGCATGGAAGACAATGCATGCGCGTAACAATGCATGTACGTGACAGTGCATGCGCGGGGTAATGCATGCAAATATGCAACCCGTGCTGTAAACGCGGGAGATACCGGGCCAGCTGTAACCCGATAAAAAGCATGTTTGTTAACAATTCAAGCTGCTTATAAATTATGCACTTGCAGCGAACACAGATGAGGCATACACAGTGAAACCTCGTTAATCTGGACCCCGTCTATCCGGACACCCGCTTCAGAACAGTTGAAGGCGGGTCAATTTCCACCTGGAAATGCTACTACAGTAACAAGGTGATATTACTCCGAAACAAAGTTTCACTTACCGGTCATTCGTCATTCCGGACGATTTCAAGGGGAATGCTACTGTCCAGATAAACAGGGATCCGTTGTACATACCGATTGTGAAATTTAAAAATTACATACCAAATTGTAGGAAGAAATTCCTTAAATACGAAGGTGGCATCATATGCATTTCAGGAAGATAGCTGTGAGCTGCGTAATATAACAAGACTCATTATCAGTGTTGACAAGCAGAGCAACTATACATCATTAGATACGTATGCGGATATAACGAGGCATTGAGTCATAAAGGAATGATGGACGAATGTCTCTATGCGGATATAAACCACTCCAGTACCATTGTAATGACAAGGATGCTCGCGTTCAAGTACCCACCGTAACTTACTGTCAAGAAGTGCGTATCCTTGTCAAGGCAGTTGACAAACACATTCATAATCATATCTAAAACAATATCTCTTTCTCCAAAGTGAAAGTAAATGTATCCGCTATTCGGCGGAAGTTTGGTTTCGCTACCAACAAGATTTAAGAACATTTTCATGTTCTGCATTATTGATGATGAACTTATGATGATGAAGTATATGACGGTTATTTAAATGATTACGTACAGAAGACAGGTCATATTCTTTCGGGTGGTGTGAAGCATCGTCAAGGCAGTTGGGAAATGCATATTCTAAGTCATATTTTAAAAAATACCACTTTCTTTGAAAGTGAAAGTAAAAAACCCCGATGTTTTCAGGAAGTTTAGTTTCGCTACTAACAAGATTAAAAAACATGGTTGCATCAAGGATAAGATGATCAAATGTATGGCTTATTTAAATGATAATATTAATACACAGGTAAAAACGCGGGTTTGCTCCTTTTTTTAAAGAAAATAATACTTTTACATACTTTTGTGAAGACGGAGTGTAAAGGGGCATCCAGCGACAGGATTAAGTAACACCGTCTCCTTAGTCTCCAACATTATAGCGGGACACTGCGACGCTAAAGCCAGCTACCTGAGACAATCCGACGCTCGTGTGATGACAACGTGCACTAACTATAGGTAATATAAACAAGTCGAGTCACGCAGCCCCCTAAAGATCCGAGCTCACTTCTGAGAATCGGACCCCAGCAAGATAACACATTTTCCACATGTGTATAAATAAATATTCCCACAACATTTCCTGAGCTTATGTTAATCGATGGCAATGGTTTCAAACTCCTAACGGTTATATCAGAATAAAAAAGATACATTAAGATAAAGAGAAAAACATTTAACGAGTTTATAAAAAAAATCAGTGAAAGTAGAATCCGGCTTATTTACCAACACACGGATGGTGAATATAGCCTTGATGCATGTGGGGACACTCTGTGGACGTTTAACGGTTAAATCATTGATAAAAGATTTTGTATTTACCCATTTTGAATCCTCATATTGTCAATGACACAAATTGTACTGTTGTACCCGGAAACTGTTTCCTCTAGCCAATCAGAGCGATCTTTCAACTTCCTGGTTAACTTCATTGATAATGAATAGGCTTGTGACGGGCCGCTCTCAGCTCACCTGTGTGCAAGCGTTTAGTGCCTGTTCAGGGCCAGCGTAGCGGAACGCACGACCCTGGATGAGAATAGGTACTGTCACTACTAAAATGACAGGATTTGCTTGTAAAGAGATTCGCGCATGTCGAGTGGAGTAACAGGTTTCACGTTGAAGAAAGTGCCCGTTGGCTATATAACGGTGGTGGGCATAGCTTGTTATGTATCAACAGCACACACTCACGCAGTGTCAGGCTACTGTAAATCATATAAAAATCAGCTAGTGTACTTATGATTCTCAGAAACAAGGACATGCGCAGGTTTTCAACACACACGTACATCACATTTGCAGTTTGGTTGTTGTTTAACGCCGCACTCAGCAATATTCCAGGTATATGACGGCGGTCTGTAAATAATCGAGTCAGCTCAGTGATTGATATCATGACTACTGATCCACGCAATTGGGATCGATGACATGCATCAACCAAGTCAGCGAGTCTGACAACCCGATCCCGTTAGTCGCCTCTTACGACAAGACTGGGTTGCTGAAGATCCCCCTTCACAGGTCGCACCACGTGTGCACGTTCACACGCAGACACCGTGCCTGACACCAGACAAGGTGAGGTGGGGTGAAACGGTGTTTAACGTCGCGTCCAAGATTATTGCACTTATATAGCGACGTGCATGCACATGTGTGGCCGCTTGTACTGGTCGGACTAATGCCGATTTTATAGTGCTGGCCCATAACCATCTTTTAACGTCTTATGACATTACGCGGTCGGAGTTAGAACCCCGACCTTCCGCTGTCCGGGAGGACGCCTACCACTGGTTCACGGAGGCGATCCGACACCAGACAACGCTTGACATAATACGCCATTCTTGTTTCAAGGCTCTGTGATTGATACCAGAACGTCGTTTTTGACTCTAGACACCGTGCCTGACACCAACATGGGCTTGACATCAGACAGGCTTGACACCAGACACCTTGCTTGACATTAGGCACCTTCCTTGACACAATACGCCGTGGTTTGACACCAGACACCTGATTTGACACCTTGTGTACCACAACACATGGACAAAATGTTGAATAGATCAATATATTAACTTACCTTGTCGACTACCTACAGAAGTGTCACGGAAATGGCTACCTCCTAATCACCGGAGACAGGTTAATGTCTTCCTATTCATAAGAGAACGTCATGGACAGAAGGGAGAACATGCAATTACACTGATAACCCCCTTCCGTGTGTTTATATAATTTGCGAACATAGCAACAGGAACCCAACTTTACTTCCGATATGAAATTGTTGAACTATTTCCTAAAAGGAAGGACATTCCTGAAGCGCGTAGTCAGCTGACGTAATTGATGTGTTCAACAGGGTATGTGTGAGTATCTCTGTTACTTCATGTTGACCTTTGAGCCCTTGACAGGATGGATGGACTTTGGTTGGCAAAAGACAGAACTAGAAATCAACTGATAATAATAGAGTACATAGCTCATTATACATATAGAAACTACTACAATTGTGCAACAGGACGATAAACTTTCTTTGTGAAAGAATATGTTTTACAACGCCTTGTTTCAGCTTCTATAGTCCAGTGCTTTAATGTCTTTATTACCGTGTTGCAATGTGTATATACTGACGGAATGTATGCATCTCATGTTGCAATGTCTATATACTGACGGAATGTATGCATCTCATGTTGCAATGTCTATATACTGACGGAATGTATGCATCTCATGTTGCAATGTGTATATACTGACGGAATGTATGCATCTCATGTTGCAATGTGTATATACTGACGGAATGTATGCATCTCATGTTGCAATGTGTATATACTGACGGAATGTATGCATCTCATGTTGCAATGTCTATATACTGACGGAATGTATGCATCTCATGTTGCAATGTGTATATACTGACGGAATGTATGCATCTCATGTTGCAATGTGTATATACTGACGGAATGTACGCATCTCATGTTGCAATGTCTATATACTGACGGAATGTACGCATCTCATGTTGCAATGTCTATATACTGACGGAATGTATGCATCTCATGTTGCAATGTCTATATACTGACGGAATGTACGCATCTCATGTTGCAATGTCTATATAGTGACGGAATGTACGCATCTCATGTTGCAATGTCTATATACTGACGGAATGTACGCATCTCATGTTGCAATGTCTATATACTGACGGAATGTACGCATCTCATGTTGCAATGTCTATATACTGACGGAATGTACGCATCTCATGTTGCAATGTCTATATACTAACGGAATGTACGCATCTCATGTTGCAATGTCTATATACTGACGGAATGTACGCATCTCATGTTGCAATGTCTATATACTGACGGAATGTATGCATCTCACGTTGTAATGTGTATATACTGACGGAATGTATGCATCTCATGTTGCAATGTCTATATACTGACGGAATGTATGCATCTCATGTTGCAATGTCTATATACTGACGGAATGTATGCAACTCATGCTGCAATGTCTATATACTGACGGAATGTATGCATCTCATGTTGCAATGTGTATATACTGACGGAATGTATGCATCTCATGTTGCAATGTCTATATACTGACGGAATGTATGCATCTCATGTTGCAATGTCTATATACTGACGGAATGTATGCATCTCATTTTGCAATGTGTATATTCTTCTTCTGCTATGTTTATATTTTTGTGTTGCAAGGTCTATATTCTCCTTCTACAACGTTTATATTCTTGTGTTGCAATGTTTATATTCTCATGCTTCAATATCTCCATTCTTGTGTTGCGATGCCTACATTCTCATTCTTCAAATTATACATTATTGTGTTGCAATGCCTTTATTCTCATTCTTCAGATTATACATTATTGTATAGCAATGCCTACATTCTCATTCTCCAAATTATTGTGTGGCAATGCTTATATTCTCATGCTTCAATATCTACATTCTTGTGTTGCAATGCCTACATTCTCATTCTTCAAATTATACATTATTGTGTTGCATTGCCTATATTATCATTCTTCAGATTATACATTATTGTGTTGCAATGCCTACATTCTCATTCTTCAAATTAAACATAATTGTGTTACAATGCCTATATTCTCATTCTTCAGATTATACATAATTGTGTAGCAATGCTTACATTCTCATTCTTCAAATTATTCATTATTGTGTTGCAATGCCTACATTCTCATTCTTCAAATTATTCATTATTGTGTTGCAATGCCTACATTCTCATTCTTCAAATTA